CTTGCCCCGTGGCCGCGTTAAGTTTTTGTCAGGCGGTCTAACAACTTAGATTTATATTATGCCCGGGATATCTATCCCGTGCCGGGGCAAAACATAGAGTAACGATACTTACTTGCCACGTGCATGTAACCAAAAACGACTACGGTATTAAACGATGGCGAATCACCGGAAACCTCGCAACGGTATTTGCCGGTGTGATTTGGTTGTACATCCTTTAAAACTACACGGTGGGCGTCGCTCCGATTTGTCTGCAACGTGATTAAATCCGGTATTAGTATTGCTCGGAACATGGTTACATCTATGCAACATTACGACGAATAATCCGCAGTGCGTATCGCTCGGCGAATAATACCTCGATACGACGTCACTGTCGTTTTTTAATTGATTTGTCCTTAGCTAAGGTCCTGAACCTTCTAAGGACTAGAATCTACGCTATTCTAACGAATATTGTATCCAGTATTACTTCGTTTGTATTTTACCTTAATAATGAACATATTGAGTGGAATACAATAATAGTAGCCTCACTATAAACTTGGGGTCCGGGATCACTATAGTACCTTCTCCAACGGAAATGTAGTTTTTATATTCGAAAATCACGTAACGTGGCGCCAAAGGATAACATTCCGATTTTTATTCGCCTCGGAATGTTATCGCGTTCACAATTTGCTCGTGTAAAATGCTGATCATCGCGAAAAAATGGAAGCTCCGGTAATAGGAAGGCACTTTTATCGAGCACCGTAATAACTCCCATGCAATTTCAGTTAATTTAGCATCCATGATTGCTGAATAGTCCTGGCAACGTGCGTGGCGTGTATCGCAAATCGATTGCCCTTACGTGCTCGCTTTGACATCCTCCGTACGCCTCCCCGCCGAGCGTCGCGATACTTCGTGGCAACAATTAATTGTGTTTGCCCATCGTGACGCAACACATTTCGACACAGTTCATAATGCGCCGCTTCTCCGTGGATTTTTCGCGGGGAACGCCGGCGCGTGAAGGATTTCTACTCAAATACGAAGCACGATTAAACGGCAATCATCGTCCTCGCGTCGCTGAAATGATTATTGCGATTGAACTTTCCTCGCGCATTTGTTTTACGGGACAACCGTTAGAATCGGGTGTACACGAGCGCGCTTTTATCGCGCTTCGGTTTAACACTTTGAACGACGCGCGATTTTATAGAGCGAAACACGCAAAATGGAAAAAATACGATATTAAATCATTCGACCGAATTGGATCATTATCATTGCACGTTCGTCGAACTGAACGTCACCGGGAGCATTATTTATAATGTAGAAATGTTTGCGAATAGTCGTTTAACCCGGCAAAAAAATTAATTTTGATATACTGCGCTTTTGTTCCATGGAGAAAGGCTATATTTTATTCTTGAATAAATAAGTGTTATAGCTTACAGTCCCGTGTAAATGATAAATATCAATAAAACGATTTTTTTTTGCTTTCGCATTATTTTCACAGTTTGGCCTGTTTAGCGCGCGAATTAACTCGAGCGTGCAAGTTAAGGGGTTAATCGAGTGAATTATGGTAATTCGATTTGCTTGGGGGTCACCGGTGACCCACATGGCATTCCACGTGTTAACCCCTTGGCCTATGATTTCTTCCTCAACTCAGATCGATAACTTGGAACTTTGTCATTAATAATTTATTGGAAAAAGAGAGAAATTCTAAGCATTTGTTATGCCTATATTTCCTGTTAAGTGTAATAGTTGATTACAGAGGTATAATATTTACTTTGAATTCGAATGAACTGAGTAATATATATATTTGTTGAATCACGTTGAAACTCTTCACCACGAGTCTCTCCGGTTGTTATAGGACAAGGGGTTAATTGTGCGCCGGTAGATTTTTGAAGTTGATTTTTCAACATTTCTTTCACATTTTTCAACATTTCCAGTTCCGATGGTTTCCAATGTGCCCGAACACGCGTCCTCCTGCTCGAAGGACGTTCCCACCCTCTCGGCGTGAACGATGGTCGATAGAAAAAAATGTACGCGTCAAATATTTTCGCGCGGACTACTTTCTGCCGGAATTTCGTCGAAATCGGCGGACGTCGCTTCGATATGTTCGATATGTTTCCGAAAACGGTAAGGCCAGTACTGCGCGAGCACTTTACACGCTGCGGTTTCTCCGCTTGACACAGGGTTTTGACCAACGTTTTACAAGCTGCGCGTTACATGTAATAAACAATACGTTGTATTATCAGCGTGCTTCGTTTTTGCACGAGTGGCGTGCGCGATAAGCGGCATTTCGAAAGTGTGTTTCAGTTTTATCGTTTTTATTAGTTACGTGTGCGTATTGATAAACGGTGAATTAGTAATCGAAGATATTTGAAATTACGAAATGAAAGTAGTAGAACATCAGCGGAGAAAAAACGGAAATTGATTAAACAGACAAATTATTTGGTGTAGGCATCAAATGATCTTTAGTAGTAGTGAATTGCACTGAAATATACGAGCCGCTTTAAGAGTCGCACTAGTCCATTTTTGGGAATAAGTTAGTTAATGGTAGTTTTAGTGGTACATAGAGATATCCTCTTTTGATTCATGAAAAATTAACCAAAAGTTTAACAGCAAGATGTTATCCGAAAAACGTAGCAAAGAAAAGCAGGAACAATTATCAACCCTTTGCACTCCAAATGATTTGACACTGCAAAACTGTAAACTCTGATATTTAACCCTTTGAACTCTGTAGGCTCCAATATTGCACCAGTTATAATATTAAATATTTCAATGAATCTTAAAGAAACTACCTTACAATTATTAGATTTTTCACCCATCCAAGTTTTGCGCTAAGAAGGAAAACAAAGGATCTAAGAAATGTTATAGCATTATTCATTTTCGCTGGGGATACCATAAAAATTAGTTGCAGTTGCTGATAGATTACAAAACAACCTGGAGTGGGGTTAATGTATGTACTTTCCTATTAACATAAATATTGAAATAAAATATCTTTGTTCCTGAAGTTTCACAGAACATCGTGTTCATCTCATCAGAAAATATTCAAATATTTCTAGCGGAAAAACTTCCGAGTGCAAAGGGTTAATCGTATTAAACGCTCGGTAGTTCCAGCGTTAATGGAGGACTCTGTCCCATTGAAGAATTACCTCGTCTCATCCGTCGGTCCTATGATTTTTACCGCGGTATTTCTTCCCCGCCAATGGCGAACGTCCGCCGCGATTCATCGTACTGTTCGTACCTACGCGCTGTCAGTGAAATCTAATTGGAAAGGTATTACGCGCACGAGAGAGTGGCGGGCCGGTTCGATCGGACGCGCACGCGTGCCCGCCCGCGCGCGAGAGCAAAGTCTTTTACAGACATTTCGAACCGGTGCGTCGAACTGTTGATTTTGCGACGCACGCTTTTTTCCCCCCGTTTTCCTCGGCCCGTGCGCCGGGTAACACGCAAACACCGTGCGCTCTCGCTCCCTTTTGTGGAAGAACGCAATCGATAGCTGCAGTCAGCTGCGGGACTCGCCGTAACAGCGCGAGTTCACCCTGAATATCCGTGAATTCGCGCTTTGTTAATTCCCGCGAATCAGAATTGAACATCGCTCGAAAATATTTTTATAATTCCGCGTGCGACGGGGCGAAAATATCGGTGACGGGTTGTCAGGGGGTTCTCCGCGGATCGTCTATGGCGCGCGCGCGCGTGTGTTTGTCCTTTTTCAATGTAGTCACCGGACAGCGAAATTTCCTACGAATTCAGATTTCCCCGTTGTTGAATTCGGATCGGTCGAAATTAAATGAAATTCCGTTCCTTTCGCGAACGATCCCGGTGCGTACCGGAATGAAATAGGAATGGCCTTTTTACCCCCGATAAATTTTTTATTTCCTCCCGCTGCCTTCGTTTTTCAAGGGTGTCCGGATTCCGTGAACGGAGTTTCAGTTTGAGGACTAATCGACTCGAACGCGGGGGGAGGAGGTTATAGGGAAACTCGAAGTTTCTCTTTTTTAACCGGCGTTTTTATCGGACAGAGGGGAAACGTCGAGCGCGCACCGATGTTTGTAAAAATCGTCGCGGCATTTAGCCGGCGGGACTTCGCCGTAAACGCATAATGGGGCCCGCAGTCGAGCGATCGCTGGATATTCGTAAAATTCGTAATATTCCTAGTTTAGTGCGGCACGGCGTCCCCTGAAAAACCGGCGAGATGATTCGCGGGTGAAATGACTCGGATTTTATTTAGATATTTCCAACGTTTTTCCGAGGTGCGCTGTAATACAAGCGACCGAGTTAATATGAACATTCGGAGCGTTATCATCGATAAGTGCCCATCATATTAATCAGGATTTCTTCTGAACCCGAACAGTCGGGGGCAGCGATACATTTTGCTCGGTCAGCGATGTTTGTGCGCGCTTTTAGCAAATTAGAATGCACGCTCCGAACAGTAATTGCATCGTTCGACCGAGCATTGACGGAACTCGCATGTCAGCCTCGAATCTGTTTTCCTTTTTTTCCCCCCGCTTGTTTTTTTCCCGCCTTTTTTCTCCGTTCGCTCGAAGATATTGATCTCGCATGCATTATTCCTTCTTATAGCCGGACGATTTTAATTAACATCGGTGTGCGCGTATACGTAAAGCGTAAAATACGAATCTCATTATCGATAATTGTATTTCAGTTATTCGATATATTTATAAATCGTAATACCGAATAAATTGCTCGGCGAAACGGCCGTTTCTGCGAGTGATTCAGCTCATGTTGGTAAACTCTCTTCTTATCTACGCTCGACGTAAATGTTTATTGGACGTAACAGTAAATAACGCCGGGGTTTCCTAGGGATAAAAACACCGTTCCGAAATCGAACGCGCGCGCACGCCCGTATTATCGGGAAGAAGTATTTTAAACAGCGATCGCACACGGTAAATCATCGCGCGCGTTTCGAATTTGTTGTTGATGCGGATCTGGAGATTTATTACTATGAATATTTCGCGGAAACTTCTGCAATACGCGTGACATCGAAATTTGTTTTATTAGCTCGGCCCGCGCGGAGAGCAGAAATTATTACAGAGCCGAGCAATATTTTTTCGGCGCATACGGGATCGTGGCGAAAATGGCGTCTGAACGAGAGGAGCAACTGGGACGTTCTTCGGCCATCTTAACGCGTTGGCGACCATTGATGCGGTAATATGTTGCTTTATGCTTAGAGTTTGTTATTTACGTTGTATATTAATTAGTATTTTGTCGTTCGGTCTTGTGATTATTCCAGTTATTTGAAGATAATTTAAGGAAACTAACTTTGAAAGCTACGTTAAATATTCAATTATTATGTCTATTAAAAATTTTAAACGTAACATTTGGTAATAGACATAATAATTTAATATTTAACGTAAAGTTACCAAATTTTACGTTTAAAATTTTTAATAGACATAATAATTGAATATTTAACGTAAAGTTACCAAATTTTACGTTTAGAATTTTTAATAGACATAATAATTTAATATTTAAGGTAAAATTACCAAATTTTACGTTCAAAATTTTTAATAGATATAATAATTGAATATTTAACGTAGCTTTGAAGGTTAGTTTCCTTAAATTATCTTCAAATAACTGGAATAATCGCAAGACCGAATGATAATTACGCGAAACAATTACGCGAGATTTCCAGTAAATTGTATTTTCACGCGAAGCCTTCTATAATTCTTTGAAAAATACGTTTAATGAATATATTCAACGAACACTGAAAGCTTCCTGAAATTCGGCGCATCTATATTTAAAGACTTTTAATTGATTCAGTTTTCATTTATGACGTCGAAATTTCGTACGCGACGCTACGCGGCGATATTCATTTTCATTCTCGCAACTCGTTTTAATGAACTGTTAGTGGATTCGTAACATCAAGCTAGAATTTTCCAATTGTCAGTCGCGTTTCAAATCGATGTTGGCTGTACAAGTTTCGCAAGACTTCGTTTAATGAAAAATCCGCGATGAACATTTCCTTAATGACAACTGTTCAAATTACGGCCCGGCCTGGTTGAGACTTCCGTAATATTTTGTTTAATATGAAACGCGAAATTCATTCGAATCGTTCCCATTTGTTTGCCACGGAGATTTTTATTGCGCAATAACCCGGCTTCAATCGTTACAAGTGTAAGGTTCTATATAAACGCGAAGCGAAACACGCGGGGAACGTATTTTCCGATGGAGAATGCGGAAAATCAGAAAACGGACGACTCGGTTGCATTCTGTAATCACTTAAGGTCGCGGTTCGAACATTGACGTACAGTTCTCCAGACGCAGCAGCTGTATAATGAACTGAAGCATGGATGGCGCCGATAAACTTGCGCGTATCGCGAAACTTGTGGAAATATAATCTGCGTAACTCACTTCTGTCCTCTCGGTTCCCGACGATTTCACATCAGGTGCCAATGTAAAACACGATTTGCAAAGCACCACCTTCCAACTTTTAATAAAGCGGGAAATTCAGACGGCGCTTCCCACCTCGAAATAACCCGCTGACATTTCGCCGGGAAGCTCGAGGGAATTATGGTCGCGCGATCACGGAGATATTTTTATTTGCGAAATTGCCTTCGACCGTTTTCACCCCTTGGCGTACTATTTATTTTCGCTACTGAGCTCGTAACATTTTACTATCGATTTAGAAGAAAAGTAGCAGAATTTTCCATTCTACTTCAAGCGGAAGTTTCATTTGAAGATACATTGATAATAGCGAAATAGTTATGATCCGTGGATAATGAGCAACATTGATTGTTGTCAAATTAGTCTAGAAATCTTACGAGTCTCAGTCGTTGTACGGCAAGGGGTTAACACGTTAAGCGCCATGTCAGCCATTGGTGACTGACGCTTCTGAATGACTAGAAAACAATCGTAACATACAAGATAATTGATGAAAATGTTTAATAACGTAATTATGTTGATAATAGCGTTGTGCAAACATTGTAACGTCAAATAATAATTGTTCCTGCTTTCCTTTGCTACAAAAGAAAAACTCTAGATTTCCGTGGCGCTTAACGTGTCAACAATGAACGCAACGAACCAAGATAAACAGAAAGATCGACCGTCAAACGTTGACTACTGTTTCGGAATTCACGACTTCAATTTCGCTGTTACTCTGGTTTCACTCGGCAAAAGGATTTCTACGCTCCGAGACAACAGTATCTACCGAAAGCATATACTTACATCAACTTTGGCACCCAATTCCCCGAAAACAGCGATCGGCGGCATCTCTTTCGGGACGTATCGAAAAAATTCAGGACCCTTGTACCATTTCACCGTGTACAAAGTGTCCGAGTCCAGATCGTATCTGCAGCTCATATTGACGGTGGTGCCAGCTGCTACGGCCAACGGAATATCGATGGATACATTGCTAAGTCCGCGAACGCCTGAAAATAAAACGGCGTCACTTTCCAGCCAGCTTTTCGATTATCAGCGTCGCTCGCGCCGATCGGTCCACGGTGTACGGGACTTGGATCGCGAGCGGGTTAGCTGTAACGAAGTGTACAGAATGTAGTAGTTCCGGAGAACCAGTTCGTTTATTGTAGAAATTACGGATGATTATACTTTACCGGACAGACAGAGCTGCTCCCGGTTAAGTTATATCGTTGTCGAAACAGGTTTGTCGGTAATGGCCGCGCAGATGGTTAAGGAAAATTTTGTTGGACGTGTGGTCTAAAAGGAGTGGACTATTATCGGCTACGGGGAGGTTGTGCACGGAAAATAGTGAAAACCGACGGGAAATCTGCTGCAGTGAGAATTCAGGTATGAACGGCTCGGAACAGAATTTACAGTCCAGGAAGAAGAGAGTTTCCAAAAATGTCCGATTTCGAGGGTCGTGAAACTAAAGGTCAAATAGTGGTCTGCACGTTGTACTTTAACCCCTTGCCGTACAATGACGAGTGAGACTCGTGAAGATTTCTAGACTAATTTAACAGCAATCGATGTTTCTCATTACCCACGGATCAAACAACTATTTTACTGTTATCGTTGTATTATTTTTCAAATAAAATTTCCACTTGAAGTAGAATGGACAATTTCGTTGCATTTCATCCGAATTGTTGATAGCAAAATGGTACGTGAGCTTAGTGGCGGAAGTAAATAGTACGGCAAGGGGTTAATGACAGTTACGGTCGGTACAGGAAATCGAGTTTTTACAAGAGATCGCCCACCAGGAGCAAGTGGATCGTTTAATTTTTAAATTATGATCTTGCTATAATTGCGATCTTTCGGTTTCAGGGTTTAAGGACAGAAACAGCTCGAACATTTATTTCGATGGTGTGTAATTTCACTGCAAATGTAATGACCTGATAAATGTATCCTTGCATTTTAATGAAGTGATAACGTTTCATAAATTTTTATGTTTTAATTACTATTTTAACCCTTTGTACTCTGTAGGCTCCAATATTATACCAATTATAACATTAAATATTTTAATGGATCATAAAGAAACTACCCTAAAATCATTAGATTCTCCAGCAAATTTTGTACTAAGGAAAATAAAAGATCGAAGAAATGTTATAGCATTTCTCATTTTCGCTAGGAGTACTATAAAAATTACAGTTGCTGATAGATTACAAAAGAACCTGGAGTGCTAAGGGTTAATCTATGTTAATACTATTATATACATATACTTTGAACTCCTTTGAACTCTGTAGGCTCCAATATTGCACCAGTTGTAATATTAAATATTTCAACGGATCTTAAAGAAACTACCCTAAAATCATTAGATTCTCCACATATCCAAATTTTGTACTAAGGAAAATAGAAGATCGAAGCAATGTTGCATTTCTAATTTTCGCTCGGAGTACTATAAAAATTAGTTGCAGTTGCTGATTGGTTACAAAAGAACCTGGAGTGCTAAGGGTTAAAAATGTATCAATATAATCACCGGCGCTCGCGTTCTTAGTAGCTAAAATTTAGCCGTCGTTCAATGTGTTAAAAATTTTACAGTTTTAGTGTTCGAAATCAGGTGGCGACCGAGAGTCACCTCTCGAGTGCAAAGAGTTAACACTCAATTTGCATTTGACAAACGCCATTAACGGATGCGTAAGAGTAATCGAGGCTGACGCTGTTAGTCCAGCAGGGGCCATCATTGAATATGCATAATACGCACCCCGAACGCGCGAGAAACGAGCTTTCTTCAAACTGGAATCATGACCCTCTTCTTACAAGTGAGATAAGTGGCGAGTACTTATCCTATGATAACTTAAACGGACAAGTGCTTAAGAAACTTTCTGCGTAAGCTCGGGCAACGTCAGCGTTAACGTTGGCCGCCCTTGGGATTACCTTGCCGAGGAGAAAATCGTGCGCTGTGACAGGAAAAGTTCCGGCATCGGCGTCGACTTTTTAGTACATATCTCTCGAGAGAATTATGTGGTTTACAGCTTCCACGTACAAAAGAATGCAAATGTTCGCCCCTCTCCGTTCATCCGCTCGAGCATCGTGGACGGAGAGCCGTCGTCAAGTTTACGCGATACGAAACTCTCGTGAAAAATATGAACAGCTATTTTCCAAAATTCTCCGAAGTTTTCGAAAACCTCCGGCTTTAGACGTATACCCGATTTACCTACTCGTCGAGCGACATTCGGAGATAATTATTCGTTCCGAGACAATTCGAAGGTTCATTTGAAATTAAACGGTCGTATCGTGTCTACGCAGTCGCAATTTTTTTACTGGAATTTTTACAGGAAATACACAGTCGATTATTTGCTTATTAACCGTTTCAGTGCTGACCGCTATAGCGCTGTGTTGTGCTTTATCAGAATTATAATTTTCTTACTATGTTTTTCAAGGAATGAATCAAAGTGAATTTATTTGAATAAATGTTATTTTCTGATATGTTTCTATAATAACACAATATTCGTGATCTCATTGGATAAGTACTCTTATCAATTTTTCTGTATACACACCCAATCACTTCAGTTTTGGTAAATATCCGCAAAAGTTGCTTAGCATCCAAAAGACTTTGAGTAAACCCTTTACGAGCCGAATTTTTGTTCATTATTATAACATAATCTATGCAGTATAAAATTACGTATCCTGATTGTCCAGTTCTACATCTACAATTTCCAAAGTCAAAATGAACGAACATCAACTTCCCCAGGAACAATAGAATAAACTGCACAATAAATGCCTAACCTAGTGTTAAAGTTACACGGGCCTACAGAGGGTTAAAAGATTTGCCGCGTATCTCGAGAAGCTGTGTCCCTTTTTTCATCGATAGCCTTGCTCCTTCGGTCCGGTATACTTATTGTTAGACTTGCGCTGGGATGAATATGCAATGTGTGTGCTGATGGCGACGTTTGTACACCGACGATAGACGACGCGGCGGATACCTCGGTTCAGTTACCGCCGACGACGGCTTCGCAAGTTTGTTCGTCACGTGGACGTTTCGGATTACGAGGGAAAAATCTGTTGCAAGTTAAACGCGCCTCCGCTCCGTGGATCCGCGCGGATCACCGTGCGATGTACGTGAGTAGAACTCGTTATGGCGGACTAGCACCGGAATTTTCACATTAATTAACAGATTCTTTTTTTCCATGACGCTATAAGTACCTTCGTAATTACTCACGAGATGATGCATGGGAAGCTTTTGCAGCCAGTAACGTAATTAATCATTAACCTTTATCTAACAGACGCACGACGCACTTCTATTCGATCCTCCGCATAAACACACGCGAGCCGTTTCTGGAACTTTCGAATAATTCGATGACGTTTAACTTTAGTTCGTCGGGTTTCGCGAAAGGGTATCGAGACGTCGGACGAAAGTAACTGAACATTAATCTAACGAGTTTTATTACGTATTCAGGGAAAATAATGTAGTACCTAGAATTTTTAGCATCGATGATGTTTCGCGGGAGAATACAGTACAACCACGTTACATTGCGTGTACCGATTATCCGGACGTAAATACATTTCACAGATTAATTATTCCGCACTGGATCCCATTGTAATTGTATCCCATTGTTTCGCGTCATATAAAATTACAGGAGAATTCGTTGGTCGATTAACACTTACACTTCCATTAAAATTGTATTCCGATCGATGGGTGACTCGCGCCTCTATGAACGTTCGCGAACTGTGCATCGTCGATGGATCATTCCTCGCCATACGGAATTATTGTAAAACCATATTGTAGTGTCTAGAATTTTTAGCGCAGGTTAAGGTATTTTTAAGAAGAGCGAATGTAAGAATGAGTGTGAGCGAAGAACAGGCTGTAAAATGGTCGAGGGAAAGTGTCCTGCGCAACGTCGCGGACCCAAGATTGCAGGGCCAGCTTTCCAGGGGTGCATTCGAGTGTTTCTGATGACTGCGAGTGAGAAGTATGCTTGTGGGGGAGAGAATGATTTTTGGGAGAGAATGTAAGAGAGTTGCGGAAGAGTCGTGTGTTGGCCTACGTGGCATTGAGTTATGTTTTTCACGTGTTATCCGTGCTGTTTCGATATTTTATTAAATACATATATTTATTCATAGTTCTCGATTACTCAAGATCCACTTTTTCATTGTCTATAATATAGTATCTAATAAATTCGAACCTGTTCACGTCTGAACGCGAACGAAGGAAAGGAGCACAGAAGCGTTCCGAGAAGTTTTCGCTGCGACTGTACGCGAAGCACTTGATTGTGCCATCAGTTGTTCAAGTAGGAATAATCTGCTGTTCAGGCAAGCGATATTCCAGCGTATTTATCGTGAAGTCTGCAATTTACAAATGGTATTACAGAAACAATGCCTAATCGAAATATGTGAGCGTGTGCAGCGATTTTCGTCTACACAGCTTTCAAGGGGATGTAATCAATTGTCCGGGCGAAGAATCGGTGATACCCGTGCACACGGTCGCCGCCCCCGCCCCCCCGGTATCGTTCCAGCGAGATTTAAATACCGGGGTGCCTTGCTAATCACCTTGCTAATCCTTAATTACTGCCCCAGCACGATTGTTATTCCCGTGACGGTCGGCGGAACACGTATCTTCCGTTTTTGGAAGGCGAAACCTCCCCATAAATAACGGTAGCCCGAGACAATGGCGTCGCATAAACTCTCCGGCTATATATCAACCCTTTGCCCTTAAATTATCGCCGGAATAATAGGGTAAGCGTGGCTAAATCCCGAAATCATTTTTCTTCGCTAGCACTTCGTTCGCCGCGTTCTTCGTCATATTGCACGGACAAACGTTAAACACAGACCGTTCGGATTAGGTGCACGTCATTCTGTTATTTAGGTGCCGAAGGCTCCGTGGAAGCCGAAGCTTCTATAATTACAGTGTATCCCGCGGCCGATTCCGCTCCGCGTACAATGTTTCAGATTTCATTCGGGTAAAACGTAAAACTGCGTCGTAGTTTCATTTTCAACGATCGCTTCGGATGTTTCATATGCTTTCTCGTAGCGTCTTGCGCAATTTCGAACTTTCCATGCGAAAATCCGCGTCTAATTATTCGTGCACTGGAAGTTCGAACTCAGTGAACGGAAAGTCTTAACACTAGGTTAAATTAGTTTAATCTTCATCGCGAGTCTCATTCGTCATCGTACGGCAAGGGGTTAACAATGAACGTAACGAATGAACGAACGAAGATAAACAGGTTTTACTCGGCAAAAGGATTTCTATGTTGTTTGTCACAAGTCCAAAATCATAGATAAAATACACAAATGTCTCATCCAGGACTAGTCATCTACAACGAGTCATCGAGTTGCGTCGCGGTCTGACCGAAATCGTCCGTTTCCGCGTCGTATACGTTAAAACGCCAAAATATAATTATTACTAACGAATCGGACTTCACGTCATTCAATGAACGAACAAAAACAAAATGAACGAACATCAACTTCCCAGGAACAATAGAATAAACAGTACAATAAACACCCGTAAACCTAGTGTTAAAAAGGTCTATTTCTTGATTCACGTGTTTCTCACTGTTCCAAATACCGTATGTTTCTAGCGAAAAGCTTCCGAGTGCGAAGGATTAATGCCGGATTTCATACGAAACAAAACCACGCGAGACGAGGAATTTCAAAAGTTTCACCCAGACCGAAATTTCATTGAAATTCGACTACTCGACGATGCGATTTCCGGTTGCATATAATTTTTCACTTCGTTTCGCTCGTACCGTAAATTCATATCGCAAGATCCAGTGGCATTGGAACGGCTTCATCGTTCAATCGGTCGATTCAGGTTTAACTATCTCAATGTTGCCGCGTCCATTGAAACGGATCGGTCGTGGCGTTCGTTACGCGCGAGACGAGCCGCCATTGTAGACGAGCGTCCGCCGCGCGGCGAGATTTCGCCGGTCTTCGAGTACACGTCGCCCGCGGAATCTTAATCAGAGCCGTTAATTACTTATATATTTTCAGAGCCCAATGGTCCGGCCACCGGTAAAAGGTCTTCCGAGCATTATGCACATCCTTGGCAAGATCCCCCACGGCCGCGAGGACGGAAAAGCCAAAGGCGTAAAGAGCTTGTACTTTGAAATGAGATCCCTTTCTTCCCTCGGAACTCAACTATATGAAACCTCATCCCTGATGCGCCGTCGGTTGTGGAGGCTTTTATTGTTTCGCGAAAGATGAGAGAGGAGAGAAAAGGCCGGCTGGAGGAGAGGTCTTTGAAAATATTTGTTGCGAAGGAGAAGGAATAACACGGCCGCGGTCCGCGGTCTGTTTGACGGCCGAAAAGACGCGTCGCGGCCGTGGCGAGCCATTTTATTCGAACTTATTCCTCGGAATAATGTCCCGGCCTTCCGCGGCTGTCCACCCGAGATTAGTTCTAATTAGCTTCGAATAACGAATGTATCTGTTCGGACGTACGGCGTTTCCACGGTGACCGGTGGCCGTAAAACGCTCGGATTACTCGGGATGACTTACCGACGCGATTCCGGGCTACGCCGGCCCCGATTTCAATTGACTATATTTCATAGCGGTGTGCGGGTACCCGAAATCTCGGGTCGGCCCGCAAGAAGTCGGCCGAGAGAGGCTTGGACTGCGAAAGTATCTCCGCCACATACGATTGCTCCGAATCCCGAAAGTTTTGGACAGCCGGAAAGTTTTCGGCTATTCGGGACTCGATAGGGGATTGCGGCGGCCTCCGGGCTCCCCGAGTTTCCACCCGGAATTGTGGCGGATCCGAGGGCGGGAATAATATTTTCCTAGTATATCGGCTCGTGTATTATTTTATTATTTCTTCCTGTTCCTGGAGGAACGGCAGTTTCACCGCGAATTCTTAAATCCTCGCGGACCGAGCGCACGGAACTTCGAAATTTGTTGATCGGCGATCTGACTGTGCGACTGGTCTGCTTGAATCGAGTGAAGAAACAAAAACTGGTGATGATTACTGAGAAAACTTAGAAAATGTAAATACATTTTGTACATTTTCTTTCTTTTATTAACTCTTTGCACTCGAAAGTTAATAGCTAGATGTAGACAAGATTCTTTAAAATAAATTTATACAGTATACAGTATACGATGGTTAACGGTAAACACCAAAATTTCTAATTTTCATAATGAATTCCACAATGAAGGTTATGGTGTGACAGGTTTTCGAACAATTTGGAAAGAGTTCTCTTCGAAGATCTACATCCCGAGACTGTTTGTGCCCTTATTAGTAATTCTTTCTTGCAGCGAAAGTAATTTAGATATTCAACGTATGCGTGTAGTACATGAATTTGTGGGGTGTGAACAGCGATTTAATATGAACCCACGATGCCGGCTAATGAAGAACGTGAGACTGCAACTTCAGCGGTCAAAGAGCGATGTTTGTTACGTGAACTTCGCCGATGTTCAGGTTAAAGTTATTTTCCGGGACGAAGCGAGGAAAATACAAAAGTTCCCTGGGATACGGGAAAAGGGAGGAATAAATGTGACAGTGAAAAGAAAAAAGAGAGAAGAAACGTTGGTAGGATTAAGGCAGAAATAGGGAAGAAACATGGAAGGCGGAAAAGATAAATGGGCAGGTATTAATAATTAAAGGGGGATAGGAAAAGAGAGAGAGAACGAGTTAAAGTTCGGAATAATGCATACCATAAGAGAGAACGTGTACCGGTGCGAGGGTACGCAATAAAAATATGTGACAAGCGATTCAATGGGCACGGAATCCGGCGGAGGAAGAGATAAAAAGAGTTTAACCATCGTTCGAATTGCCCCTAATATTCGTAGACAATTAAAATGTATTTCATAATATCCCGTACATTTGATACGCGGGTAACGACCGGTCGTAATCGTTACTGAAACAAATTCGATTTCAGTCAAATTAGTCGATTATAAAATGATAACGTTTCTTGTACGGCATTAATAACCGTGGCGCGTCTAAAAACACGAAACAGAATGGAACAGTCGTAAACTTATATGGGCGCGCGATAAAACAATAATAACAACGAGTCGTCAGGATTCGTTAGGCCAACAGTTGTGTGGAAAATGTATGTTAATCCACGGGATTATATTGCGTAATACATTTCACAGTTCAAAACCGGGAAGAATCTCCATCCAGCGGAGACGTTGCGCATAATTCACGAGAAACATTAATTCTGACAAGCGTGGATTTATTTGGGCCGGGTTAGCGAGGAGCACGATCTTTTAATCCATCAAATGGAAGCGTTACGATCGAGTATCGGTTGGCTATCCGGCACGATTCCCGGCCATATTTAATTTCCAATGGAAACGGGGGGATCCCGCGAGCCAAGGCGCACGAGTCTCGCTGCCGGTTAATATTGCAAGATTTCAGAAGCGCTTGTTGAATCTTTAAAGTTCCGCGCCCGTGGCGGACGGCGGACGGTAATCGGGGGCCAGAAAAAGGAACTCGGCTGCCCAAACCGATGGGAGCCCTCGAAATGGCCCGGAACTTTTATACGATACCTCGTAAAAAGTTTTATAATAAAATGTACGCCGGCGCGAGGTATTCCGCGCGGGTATCCGATGTCGTCTGGC